GGGCAGGAAAAGAGGGAAAGAGGAAAATTGTGCAAAAATGCAAAATTCAGCCAAAAAAAGATTTGAGGAGAATTCACAGTTTTACATTGCAGAAATCCATCGAAACAAGTTTTACATTGCCCACAAAGTACCAAATTAGAATGTTGAAATGTGCTATTTAAAGTCAAATTAGATTTAAAAATTTGCAAAAAAAACCAAACTGAACAGATATGCTTGAGAAAAGCAAAATTTGGAATCTGCACATCGCTTTTACACGAGTGGATAGCTTTAACTACTTGAGTAATACTGGCGCACCAGTAAGAGTTTTATCACTAAAGTCCCACTCAAACCCCATGATAATGATACTGGCTTGAAGCAGCTGTGATTATCAAACAGTATCTTTAAAAGAGCTAATCATCAATTGAAGGTTGAAAAGAAAATATCAAAGAAAAAAAGAAAACGAGGAGAAGGATAGTAAGATGGGAAAAGGGTCTGAGGAAATTATCTTGCTAGCGATTTGTCGTTATTGGCAAAGTGCTATAATTCGAGGGCTACTTCTGAAAGTTCCCATCTTACATAAAAAAAATAAGCGAATTTCGACTTTTATTTCAGCTTGTCGGAGATGTCTGCTCTTCTGATTTCTCAATCTTTGATTTCTCAATCTTTTCACAGATATCGACAGATTCAAGCCCTCAAAAGCCAAGCATTCTTACTAAAAAGCACGCAGCTACACTACAAAGTCAACGCATAACTTTATTAAAGCGGAGCACAAGTCAAATTCTACCTCAACGCGCTGAATGTGCCGAAGATGGCGCCGGATGAAACACCAACGAATAATCCCATAACTAAGCCCAGCTTCATCTTCTGCCAACAAGATATTTGGGGCTGCCCCGTCATTCCTTGATACTGAGGGACCGGCATCACCTCGACCCTTCTTCACGGACTCCTCACAGCAAAAACAGGAACAAATGCCGCCGGTTGATGTAACCAGATGTCGGCTGATTCACCTGAAAAACATAAAGTAGGAAGGGCAGTACGGGCCGTAAAGGCCCTACGAGAATCATATCAAGAAAAAGCTATAAAAAGCCCGCGGGGAAGACTGTAAAAAATGGCCAGTACAGTCAGGGGCAAAATAGGAAGACTACTACGGGCCGTACAGGTCCTATGAAGTCTGGCAACCCCATATTACCGTGAAAACACGGTGAAACGACAGGGGATTAGCGTACGTAGATTTCTACTTCTTCAGATAACTGCTCTTAACCT